ATTTCATTCCCCTCCAGTAAAAATGTGCTCGAAGACGCTGATATGTGACCTGTGCTCCCGAGTGTCCCCCAACCGGTGAAGAATGAAACAGATGTAATAGCTTGGAACGCATTCCCCCTGTCCTGCCCACTACTACAGCCCCTTTATAACGCAGCACACCCGATGAAAACGACCAGAGGGAAGGTCCTTGGGAAGTAACAGCAGCAGCAGTAATCCAGGAAGCTGTGTCAGGATCATCAACATAAGTTTCCTCGATCTCAGCCAGCCATTCGGGTAAAACAGTAGTGATGGCGTTGCAATCCCCTTCTTCCACCTGCTCCACTTCCTCAAAAACCCTTGACAAGGCGTCGGCAGCCCCATTAAACTTCCCTTTACGATACTTAATTTGAAAATCCAGCCCCATAAGTTTGACAAGTCCCTTCTTTTGAATAGCAGTGTGAACTTTTTGCCCCAACAAAAACTTAAGGCTCTCATGATCCGTGACTATAGTAAAAGAACGACCCTCCAAGTAGTGCCTCCAATGATCAACTGCTAAGAGAACAGCCAGATATTCCTTCGCGTAAGTGCTTAAGCCTTGATTACGAACCCCCAGGGCCTTGCTAAAAAATGCCAAAGGGCGACCCCCTTGAGTTAATACAGCTCCCACACCTGTTCCACTTGCATCAGTTTCCAACGTGAAAGGGAGGGTGAAATCGGGTAAAGCCAGCACTGGTGCTTCACTCATAACCCTTTTAAGCACCTCAAAAGCAGACTCAGCATCCGGCCCCCATGTGAACCCATTCTTCTTCAAAAGAGCAGTCAACGGTCTGCTCAAAGTACCATAGTCGCGAATAAACTTCCTGTCGTAGCCTGTTAAACCCAGGAAACCACGCAGCTGTTTAATATTCAAGGGACGAGGCCAATTAGTCATTGCTGAAACCTTCTTTGGATCTGTTGCTACCCCTTCCCGACTGATTATATGACCAAGATACTCCACCCTGGGCTGTCCAAAAGCGCATTTAGACGCTTTAGCATACAGCTGATGGTCTCTCAATAGCTGTAAAGCAGTAGCCAAGTGTTGTTCATGCTCTTCCTCAGATCTGCTGTAAACCAGAATATCGTCGAAGAAGACGAGGATGAACTTCCTCAAATATCTTCCAAAAACGTGATTCATCAGCGCTTGAAAAGTAGCCGGAGCATTCGTGAGGCCAAATGGCATAACACGAAACTCATAATGACCCTGGTGAGTGCTAAATGCAGTCTTAAACTGATCATCAGGGTGCATTCTTATCTGATGATACCCTGCTCTTAAGTCCAACTTCGAAAATATAACCGACCCATTCAGCTCATCCAATAAGTCATCAATGTGGGGAATTGGAAACTTATCCTTAATGGTGGCGGCGTTTAACTCCCTGTAGTCCACACAAAAACGCCAACTGCCATCTTTCTTGCCAATCAACAGCACCGGCGAGGCATATGGGCTATGACTGGGCTGAACGAACTCTGATTGCAACATCTCAGCCACTAATTTCTCGGCAACAGCCTTCTGGTGGTGGGGAAAGCGGTAAGGGCGAATGTTAATGGGTTTTGTGGAAGGCAACAGAGGAATGGTATGATCAAACGATCGTGAGGGTGGTAAAGTGGATGGGGTTGCAAAAACATCAGAGTATGAGTCTAAGAGAGGCTGCAAGAATGGAGGAGTGGGGAGAATATCTGGAGAAGAGGCTTCAATAGCAAAAACAGCACCAACTAATTGAGATGAGGGATCTTTCAATAGCTGTTGAAACTGGCGGCCACTCAACAATTTACACTGCCCAACTTTCGAAAGACCCTGCAAACACATCATCCCCCCTTTCCACTCAAAAGACAGCTGCCTCTTCTTGAGGTCCATTTGGAATGGACTAATCGTCTCCAACCAATCCCATCCCAAAACCAGATCGTGAGAAGGTAAATCCAGGGTTCGAACATCAAACCCAAAGTCCTGCCCTTGCATTTGCCAACGAAATCCCCTACAAACAGCACTACTAAGGAGAGTATGACCACTAGCTACCTTGACGCGCATAGGGGCAATGTTCTCAGTCACACAGTTCAGGTCTTCTGCTCTAAGGGAATTCAGAAACGTGTGAGAGCTTCCTGTGTCAATAAGAACAGTTACCTCTTTGGTGCCAGCAGAAGCAGGAATGAGCAACGAGTTCCCAGCAAAACCCGACCCCATGGTCTGCAAGGAGACCTCTAATTCAGCATCTTGAAACTCCTCCTCAGGATCGTCAGATTCACTAGGCAGCACCGAATCATCCCCTTGCATCACTTGCAGTTGTTTCTTCTTCGCACAGATGTGGCCATGAAAGTACTTGTTGCCGCACCGGTAACAGAGACCTTGACCCCTCGCCACCGGAGGACGTTCCGTGATGTGAGTCGATGGAGTGATAGGAGCAGCCTTAGATTGGACAGACGACGACGAAGATCCCCCCCCCCCAACGATTGGAAGAAGAAGCACGACTCTTCCGCTTGCGTGCTTCAATGGCAGCTTCCTCCAGACGAGCTTGGTAGAAAGCACAAGCCAGAGTAGGAGGATTGAGAACCTGCACTCGTGGTTGAATCTCCTCATCCAGTCCGCCCAAGAAACTGAGAATGAAGTAATGCTCGTTGAGAGCAGGATTGAGGCGAAGCATCCGAGAACGCAATTCCTCAAACTCTTCTTGATAACGAGAAACCGAGCCAGTCTGACGAAGATGATTGAAAGACGCCACCACATTTGTTTGCTCCTGCTTGTCAAATCGGCGGAAGAGCTCGTCGACGAAATGGCCCCAAATCAACGGGAAACGGCCATAGGACCATCCCTCGAACCAGGTGTAAGCTCGGCCCTCCAGATAGTAGGAGACGAGGTCGACTTTCTGATCTTCGGGAATGGAGTACAGGTGAAACAGTTTGACGCACCGACTTACCCAAGCATGAGGATCGGTGCCGGAAAAGTGAGTGAATTCAAGGCGAGGATAATGATCCAGAAGCGTCGACCGGCGATTTTGCCGAAAGAAGTGAGGCTCTGCAAACGGACCAGCTTCAGCTCGCGGCGGTGAACGCACCGGCGACTTCTCCCGTCGAGCGATAGAAACCGCCAGCGCATCTATGGTGTCCTTCGTCGAAGCCGCCAACGCCGCGATAGCATCTTTCAGATCCTGGTGATTAGTATTGATCTGGACACGAACCTCCGCCATTTGCGTCTCTAAATCCACAATCCGAGAAGTGTGTGTCGCCATTGCCAGAGAGAAGGCTTCTGATACCACTTGTAAGGTCCGTCAATGGTGATCTCCGGCGAATTTGGGGAATTTGGGAAAGAAAGAGAAGTGAAGAGGCGAAGAGAAGATATGTTTTATTGCTATGGCTATCTAATTGGTAAAGTAGCTAATACAGACAGTTGGTAGTTGAATGAATGACTTCTTCTACACTCTCTCCCTCTATTTATACATCAGCTCCCTCACTACGTCATCAAGCCAGCTGGCAGTTCGGTTGTTACATGATTCCCTGCCGCCCTCTCTCTCCGCTGTGAAATTCAATTTTTATGGTAGCACATTCCTTCTTGCATTGCTAATTGCTATCCGTTAAATTGCCACTTTATATTTGAGTGTTTGGTGCTTCTCTAATTGGGTTTACTCATTATTATTTGTTGCCCTTATTTCCGTGCATGATTAAGATTTAAGTGTTTGTGTCTTCATGCCTTATGTTTTTGTTGTACCTTAATTGTAAACTCAATGTTGCCTTCTGCCACCGTTGTAGGTTACATTGTTTTTTCTTCAATCTCATATAATGTTCCTTAATTTGCTATACACTTAAATGTTGTATGTTCCTCTTTCAATTTAATGTTCCTTAATTTGATATACACTTAACTGTTCTATGTTGGAAGACGCAATGTACTTTCTGTTCAAGTGGAGAAAGTGGGTAGTTATGAATCGGTAACTTATCTAAACTTTGTGTATTATCATCAGTATTAATGTTTGTGCCAGAGTTAAAAATGATAATTAGCGATAAGTAGAACATCACTCAATGTTATCGAATAAGCTTGCTCACTAGGTTTGGCTTTTAATTTGATGTATCAATAATAGGAGATCAAATAATTTTCACTTTTGGTAAATACAAAATATTGCAAGATTAAAAAAGATTAACTTAAATTAATTATTCTAAAATCATATATTAATTTTTTTGAATTTCATAAGTTTATAAATTTAGATCATATAAATTAGGTTTTCCAGTTATAATTTATACACTCAAATTCATAATGTATTGTAATTGTTTATCGATTCCTAATATAAATAGTATCGAAAATCAAACACACCCGGCCAACAGGCCGGGTACGAAGCTAGTTTACATTGATAGGTTTTGCTATAAAACTGACCACCCGCTTACTAACAGGTTATCATATAACTATGACCCACAATCCACCTACATATTTCTTTGAAATTCTATAATTGCCGTCGTCGGCGCCTATGCTCGTTGAAGATCTCATCAACATGGCATCCCGGAAGTTCATCCAGTCCCACTCGAAAGACATGTCGTTCAACGTCGCGACGGCCAGCGTCGATTCTCTCCTCTCAATGGAGCAATCAGTGAGTGTGGAGCTCGCCGAACTTCTCCTAGAAGCCGTGGAAAGGGTCGAAACCAGTGTTGTCGTTGTTGCCAACCAGAGGTTCTCGAAAGGTGCTTTTATTCAAATGCGTCGGCGGCGGGAAGGAACTTACGCCGATCTACAAGAAGAAGAAGAGATTGAGCAATAAAAGAATTTTATTTTTATTTTTTAATGATGACAATAATGAGGTGGAAATTTTGGAATTTTTAATTTTTAATTTTTTTATTGCCACGTCATATAATTAATGGTCAATTTAAACCGTTGAGTTTCACATAAACAAAAGTTAATGGTGAATGATGGACAGAGAGTGACCAAACTTAATAATTCTTAGTAATTTCAGTGACCACGAATGGAATAAAATATTTTTAGTGATCAAAATTGACATTTTTTTAATAATCTTATTGCCCAATCATGACATTTACCCATATATATGTATCATCCATGTGTAATGAGTTTGTAACGATCGCCGCACCGCAGACAGACAGACCACTCAAAGTGTCGTAGTCCGAGTCTGACAATATAGAAAGGTCAGTACCAACTTCGCAAGCTTAAATTAAATTAAACCAACCAGTTCACGTTCCACATCTTACAGTTGGGAGATAAGCCTATGCGGATGGAAGTGTATCTTCCATACAAGTTACAAACCTGCGAATAGATCTGTCCACTCTGTTACAATGTCTGTGGCATGTGTATGTGTTGCGAATTGGTGAAAGACAAACCCAGAAATTAGATGAAGCTTGTTGAGTGTTGGATCAACCTCCTTTGGCCTATCGTGTCCTCTAAAGAACTATTCTGAGTCAGAATCTGACATAGGCATTTGGTAAGCATCTTTGGGTTCCGAATCTGTCATGGACGGCGGTTTATCTTTCTTTCGCGCATTTCTTGATCTCTCTCTTCGCCTTTTCACAGCTTCATCCTGGCATGCAATAGACACGAGTTGATTCCTTACCAGCACAAAGTAGGCAAAAACCAAATGCAAAATATATTGATGTATGGGGCACTATCAAGTTGATTCCTTTACCTCTTCAGCCGATTCATTCTGCTGGCCTGGCTGAGTGTGAGGCTTTTGTTGACTCCTGCTCAACCATATTGTCCCAAAAGACATTAAAGCACCCAGCAGTAGCATAGGCCCGATCCTCGGGTCTCCAACATGATCACTGATTCTGCTTATGATTCTGCGAAAACTGTGTTTAACCCCAATGCTTTTCGAAAGAACGCTTTGGGCACCTCTTGACCACATAGGTTCTGAGTCCTCAGGTACAAGATCAGGGGTTTTAGTTCTCTGCATAGGGCAGAAGCATTGGCTGAGAAGTTGAGCCAGAGCTTGTTGCTCATGAAACTATGCAAAAGAATATTTGAAACATAGACGAATCCAACTGGTTCAAACATGGGTTTACCAAAATCCTTGGTTCAATCTAAATTTTTTCCCTTCAAGAAACTAATGAATATCCTTTCAGAACCTAAATCATGAAAGATCGTGTGGATGTACTGGACTTTTTAATTCCTAGTCAACCAGTAGCAATAATTGAGAGTCTTACATAGAAAGGGAGATCCCTGGTGTCACCATCACTGATTGTTTGAGATATCCATTTGATGATCTGCGCGACAGGAAGTACAGAAGGTACGGAAAATATTACAAATTTACAAATTAAAAGAGCTATAACAAATTAATTAAGGAAACTTAAGTCTAACAATACCAGCAATCACTAGTCGTTTGAGAGACTCAGTACCTCAGGGATCTCACTCGAGCCATTGTATCGTGCGACCAGTTGTGATGCAGGATCCACATCTTCATTTAGCAGAGCATTCCATTTGTTCTTTTGAGTTTTTTCAGCCTCAATATCAGCTTCAGTTTCATTCCTCTTATAACGTACAAGGAATAACTTAGGTTCATCAGTCACATCCCTCCTAGGTCCACAAGTATCATAGCTGGTTTCTGACTGAAGGTAGAATGAACAATATTTCTGGCCCAAACATGAAAAGTGAATTTGTTAATGGTTCTGGCAGAAAGCACACGACAATAGTTGGCATTATAAATCTTGGCAACAAGAATTGATCTGACCCTGGGTTCGCCTACATGGATCACTGACAAATCAAACACTCCTACTCTGTGCAGGTGAACGCACTTAATACAACAGTGATCTAAAACAGAAACGTAGTCAGAAAGAAAGATTATCGGCAAAGGTTCAAATTCAAACATGGCCAGTCGGGCCAAACCCTGGAACTAGTCGAACTTTGCGAAAGCAGACTTCTAGATTTCACAAATGTCTTTCTACACGACCTTATCCTTAAAGAAGCGACGATGGGGCCAAATCATTATGGCTCCAGCTTCTGGGGACAATCCAGAACCACTTCCTAGAGGGCTAGTAAAAGCTGGGCTCCATGCATTAGAGACCCAAGTAATTATTCTATGCTTTTGCATATGCAGTTAATCTTGCTTTTGCTTCATACTTTCTCCGTTTTTATGTCGTTCTTGTGATATGAGCTACCATTGCGCTTAAATGAAGCATCAGTTTAAAGTGCACAATTTTCCACAAAAAAAAAAGTAAAAGTTCTAAATGCACCCTACCAAGTAATCATTTCACCATGAGTAGAGGATCTCAGGGATAACACATCAAATGCAGTTTCTTCGGAAGAAAGCTAAAAGTAAAGAAGTAACAACAATTGGCTCACCTCCTGAGCTTCCCCATCAAGCCATGCAAATGTCAATCGCTTACTTTTCAGTGCCATTACCATCGATGAAGACTGCTCTTTATCAATACTCAAGTCACCACCACCAGACTGTAGTTCTTGCACCCTGCGCAAGGTCTATGAGCTAATTTATTTAAAATCATTTCATGAATCAGGTTCTTCAAATGAAAAAAAAAAATCAGGAATCATGGAAATACAACGTCTCCTCCCTCAATCCTTCTCTTCTGCTCCTATTCCCTACTTAAACAACAACGAGAAGAAATAGCAAAGTACATTTTTTGTTCGGTAGAGAAAAATATTTTTCAAATACGTTAGCAAGGAAAGAATGAGATAAGTGGATTTCTAACCATCCAAATTATGACAACAGCAGCAAGAGGTATTTGTGTGTCAGAAGGTGGAGATAATTGGGAATTAATCAATTTCATTAACAATAACACCATTGGTATTTGCTTCCATGTAACATTTTTTTTTTTTTTTTGGGAGAAACCTTCCATGGAACAAGAAACAGAGAATTCCTACTTGGCACAGTGAATTAAAGTTAAGAATGCTTACTTCACGCATTTTGTTGAGTTCTGGGCTCAGTCTACCTGCTACAATAACACAATACCATGATGTAACATGATTTCCCGCTTGAGAGTATCCCCGGGCATCACAGCCAAGTTTTCTAGATGTCACGCTTCTAAGTTGAGGAAGTTCTGCAAACAAAAGGGCAGTTCAATTCCTCACTCTGATAGAGAAGCAACAAGTTATCATGCTTCTTTGTTTATAGGTGGTCTGGAAATATACAAAACGCTCATAGAAAAAAGTTATACAGAAAATATAACACTAGCACTTAGGCAATATGATGGTGTAATACAAGAAGAATAGAAACAGAACTGGGCATAACAAAAAGAAATGGCATAAACTTAAAGCAACATGAGCATGGACCCAGAAATTTACTGTTTTAAGAATTGTGTCTAATCAATACCAGCTGAAACAAGCGCACTGTTGACACTCTGAAGTTCATGTCTAGAAATCATGGGAAGGTAACTTTTGGAAATTTCCAGCTTAATGGACCGATAATCTGGACCATGCAACTCTTGATGGTACAACATGGCTAACTCATGGATAAACTTTGATAAATTTGTCAAACCCCTTCATTGAAATTTATCACTTGCAACAAATTCAAGATGGAAGGATAATAATGACAGACCAACATGGCCAATGGATCTCCTTACCAACTATAATGTAAAATATCATGAATTAACTCAAAGTGAACAATTATTATACGGAAAAAAATAAAATCAACTAACAAATCACTACCAAAGAAACATATCAACCACAATGAAATAGATAGGAAATCAAAAATACCATGCTGATTATTGTTTTCCATGAGATCCAAGAGCACTGAATTGTTGAGTGAACCTGCATGATAATATACAAATTTGAGCTTGTTGCATGAAGCACAGTGATTATGACCCGGTTCAGAACATCAGTTGCCTATATAGAATATCATACAAGAGCATACCATGGAAGACCACAGGTCTGAGACCTGGATCTTTGACAAATACAACAGCTGGGGCAGATTCGATCTCAAAACTGCAATCAACAGCTTAAACTCTGTCAAGCTCTGACAATCAGAAACATCGATTGAGATGTATGCAAGCTGGAAAGAGGAAACCGTTCACATACGAATTCCACCAGAAGGAAAAATCCTCTTCACGCCATAAGACGAATCCAAAAGATGCATGAGCCCAATAATGTTTAGCTGCTTGACGAACAAATGGAGCCGCACGCTCTCCTGTTTTGGAGAAGAAAATGACTTTGACCTACAGGTTAGAACACAGAACTTTTAGGACAATGAAATCCCAGGCTTGTGTCAATCATGGAACAACATCAAAGCTTTCGTGTACAGAAACCAGCTATTTGGCACAACTTATGCCAACTACGAATTGATGTAAAACCTCCAGGTCTCTTTCATAAAGTCAAAAAGCAGCAAACAGAACCAGAACAAAATCTTGATTATGCTACTATGTCTCAGAAGCTAGCAAGCCTACCATGGCAGAAACAATTGAACAGCTCAGATATCAACATTTACAAAATAGTTACCATCTACTGAATTATATGGCTTGTCAGCTCACTTTTTTCACTGGGCATGTTACTTGGTTGATAGATCATAGTTTAAGAAATCTCTAATTCCCAGTGGCAACACCTTTTTTAGAGTCAACCTTGTTGAAGTTCCTTTAGAAAGATCTCAAATACATTTTGGAGTCACTGCGAAAAACTAGAATATCAAGGCTCGTATCCTTACTAAGGATTAACGAACCCATTATTTTGTTTAGAGAGCACCAGATGGATTCCATATCCTAAATAGTACGTACAAACTCTTTAGAGCATTTAATACAGAGGGAATGAGATTAGTGACTAAGGAGGTTCCCTTAGTCACTAAGCCTAAGCCAATCAGAATTTAGTACATTTAAATTAATATTTAGAGTTTAATTAATTAGGGTTTTAATATCATTTCCCGTGTATTTAATGAGGGCTTGAGAGAGAGAGGAGACGCTGGCGGCGGTGATGACGGGGCCAAAGAGTAGGAGAGTGAGACGTCGATGGTGGCGCCGGAGCTAGAATAGGAGCCATATTTTGTCGTCCGGCGAGAGAACATTGATTTATAATGCAAGCGTTATTGGTTTCTATTGTTAGTAATCTTTGTACATAATGTCAGTATGATTTGTATACTTATATAATGTAGTTTGTATACTTTGTATGTATTGATTTTTGATGAAAGTCATATCGGTTTGTATTTCCTCTAGAAGAAAATAAAAAATTAATTCATAATATCATAACTACCATTTCATTAATTAAATATTCATTCCTTTAATTTCACCATTGAATTTATAATACTTGGTCTAATGCCTAGTAAGCCCTTAGTCATTTTGAATAAACACTCCCTTAGTCATGAGATCTCCTTTCTCATATCAATAGAGTAGAAATATATATATCGATCTTCACTTTCTTAGTATCAATAATTAGCTTGCCTGAGAAACATGGCAAGGATAAACAGAAAAGGAATACACCGGTCACGAATTCATAAAATAGAATACAACAGACACAAGACAAAGCACAAAAGAATGCCATGGTTGCTACTAATTTATCGCAAGTTTGACAAGATATCAGGAACAAAGCAAAAGCCCTTTAAGTGCAAATTGAATGCACCACAAAATTATAATCAGTAAGATTTTCTAGAAAATACAGCAAGAGAGGATCGGATTATCTAGGGTTACATGCACAATGTTTGTGGACCAAGCAGCAAAAGAAAAGGGGACAAAAGGGGAAACACTACCTTATGGGGACCACTCTTGGCCATGAAATTTTGTACCTGATTTTAAAATACAAACTCATATCAATTCCAATACATATTGAAAATAAAGAATAAAGAAATCACACTAAAAAGATTACGCCAAAGATGCTAAACTGAAACAAATTAGACAGAAGTTTTAACTGATCTCGTATGCAGTGTTATATGTGGATATAAGACAGAAATAAAACATGTAGCACAAAGCATATTTCAAGCATCATCTCAAATATGGATCACTGATATAATCTAGTATTGCAAACAAGTTTGTCAGCTTACTAGTGACTCCTTTGAATAGTACAGAATTCGAGGTAACCCTATAACAGAAGTTGCAAACCAGTCGGTGACAGCATCAACAGATAAATCTCCCTCAAACCTACAGAAAAATTGAAGCAAATGGTTTTGTGTGAATGTGGCAAAATCATTAGTGTATAGACAATGCAATCAAAGGTTCAATAGTTTTAATGTTTTCTCGACGAAGTGGATCAAAATCCTGGTGATTCATGCCAAATTACCTCATAAGACAATCTGATGTCTGGCAGCCCGATGGAAGAGCAACAAGAGATGGGAGACCTGAAACCAGTATAATGAAGTTAAAAAACGAGTGTACATGTCAAGCAAACACACAAGGATAAAAATCAGTTATAGCCTACATGCACCTAAAAAGAATGAAGCCACAGATAAAACACCAATAGGTAAAGACGCATCATAGTGTTACTTCAGAAAAAGACTTGATATATCCTATAACCATGGATAACGCAGCTTAAGCCACCTTGATAATTTCTTTTTGTTTCCTTCGCAGAGGTACAAATGATTATATCAAACAATACCATTTCTGAAGAAGAACTGGCCAGTTGGCTTTCTCTCAGCAAATGATGTTGCCATTTGAACCTCACCAACTTCCACCATGCCAATAGTAGCAGTTCCTTCCAAAAAATCAGCTGGGCCAACAAATAAACGAATTCGAAACATTAAGTAAATCAGCTACTCAAGAACATGTGCAGCATCCAATAATATCAACAGCTCATTGACAAAATTGAAGAAGCACTCTTCACTTTAGAATATATTGAGCATGCTAAATTCATCAATGAGAGAGCTTCATTATATCTACAATATTGACTGTGTCAAAACAGGTCAGCATCTTAACAAAAATAACAAGTCCAGAAAGAATCAGGCACGCTTATTTACCACCCAGTCTCACAGATATTAACCACGAAGGCACTAGAAACAGCTTTAATGTGGAATAGGAAACCTGTGTAAAATGAAATTGCATACTCTAACCAAAGAACTGCAGGATTTTATGACATGGAAGGGTTATAGTTTATCAACAATAAGTTGAAAGTTTTACAAAGCGTAACTGAAGCCCATCCTCATAAGCATCCATGCTGCATTTTCACAACATACATGCTTCTGGGGAAAGGTATGGCTCATTACAATGCCTGATCATCAAACTCGAGCAGAATCATATATCTACTGGGTCCATTTATTCTCCACTACAAGAATCTTACGACTCTGGCCATTTTGTTACATAGAACCAAATTAAATTTACGGTAGCAAACTCGTAAAAGCCTACGATTTTAAGCGTTTACTCAGGATTGTGACTACCATGACTGTCGGTATCCCTTAGAATGATTGTGCCGAAATGGCAGCTGTTTCAATTTGATGATTCTTGACAATTTAAGTGCTCAAGTTAGCTTTAAGCTTAAGGGTGTCCTCAAGGGAACCTTGGTGGAAGGGCGAATCTGAACCTGGAACCTCCCTCAGGTGAGTCCAACACCTTAACCACTTGGGCTACAACCATGTTGAGTCCAAATGGAAAACCTTACAAGTCTAGAAGAAAGCGCAAACAAACTTCATGTATAGGAAATGTAGCACATCAGAAAATACTTAGTAACGGTAATCCAAAGTCAATATAGATACTCCCACCATAATCTAACTTTATCGAATAAACAAAGCCACTGAAAGACAAACAAACTAGCTAAACAATATTGGGGGAATTTGGAGACATATGTCCAAGTATAGAACATACCAATTCGCTTCCATGTTTCCAGAAATCTAGCACAACGGTTGCTTCCTTTGGAGTATAACTGGAACATGATATTAATAGTGATATTTAATGAAAGAGAGCACAAACCAATGAAACACATAGAAGCAAACTCGAGTTAGTGTAAGTATGAAATAAGAAGTTATCTGATCAAAATTAAAGAGTAATGGGTGAAATTCACACCAGAAGGAGGAGTGGCTTAGAATTATTAGTTGCTCCATCCCAAGATGACATCCCGTTTAGAGCTTGATCTCCTGTAGAGATGAAAAATATATGATTTCTATGTCGATCCAGGCATGATATTTCTCATACTTTATATTTAATTTTTGAAGGAGGAACAAAAACCAAACATACCAAAAGAGGTATCATTAATCAATGGAAGGTCCACATGTGAAAAGCTATTTTCAGCATACTGCAATTTGGCTGCGTCAAGAACCGACTGCAGAAAACAATCTTTAGTCGACCAGAACAACAGATGACCAAATTAAAGGCAAGATAGTATAAAGGGCAAGCCGTTCAATTTGTTCAGTGACATCATCCCTGCTGCATTAGCTGGGATTTCAGACCTCTTGCAGTGCAACAATAAAAAAAGGAGGTTATAGCTTCCAGTAAGATACATGAAGCAACATCGGCAAGTTGAACACTCACAAGTTGCTCATCAATGCCGAAATAGTCATAGTCCCTTTTCCAAATGGGATTTGTCAGCAACTCAAAAGCATATCGGACCTGCATTGACACATAAACAAGTATTTTCACAAGATAACACATCAAAAGGCAGAATTCAAATGTTAGAGAAGAATTCATTCTCACGCCCTGAACTCAATCAAAGATATTTGACATAGTACATTCTCGAGCCCTGAACTCAATCAGTTATTTTGTTTGAAAATCTTCTTTGAAGGGAAAATCATAGTTTGGTATCATACATCTCCAAATTTGAAACCACTAGACAACATCAACTGACAACCAACTCCAATCTACGCCACCCACCCTATGTAATTACTCACATTACATCAGCAATTCAACCAATACTGCTCTGGCTTTAGTGCATCCTCCTTAGCGACAAGAAGCATGCATAAAATTCAGTGGCAAAAAGACCAAAAATCATGCCAGAAGCTCTATATGCGCATGATAGAGATCAAGCTAACCTTGAGAAAATCAACAGTTGCAGGAATCTCCTCACCCGATCTCCTGAAAAATCAGAAGTTTGCTCTAAGATCTAACAAGTCCACCTTTAAGTGAAACCTGTAAGGATCAATTACAACGGAACAAAATAGCTGGACCAGAAAAGGGTACCACTTAGAAGAGAGGCGCTCATAAGCATCTTTCACTTCTTCAACTGAGCTATAGCGTTTGATCCCCAGCACTGTCAGTTCGCGATCAATGAATGGAGTTCAACAATTGGCCCCGAAAGAAAAATAGTATAACGAATTCAGAAGTTAGATAAAAGACTCACCGTCGTAGTGGGAAGGAGGGAAAGAGTTAGGGAGAACAGCAAGTTGATAGAACAGAGAAAGGGTGAAGAGAAGCAGAGGCAACGCATAGGCTTTCATCTTCCACGCCATTGATGAGCCAACAGGCTTTCCGTCTCCAGCCATGATACTACTTATTAGGTCGCTACCAGGAGGCAGAGTTTAACTTCGATTCCAACGGTAGAGGCAGGCGCAGGAAATACCGGGTTTGGTTTGCCGGCAGATTTTTTTTTTTTTTTTAAATCCGCTAACGCACAGACTGATTACAGTGAAAAAGTTAGTAGTAACCTATTATGTAATAAAATCTTGATTTAACAATGGTTCAGTCGTTTCCTAATGCTAAAACCGCCTACTTTTCTGAATCAAAAGCGGATGTTTCGAGTCAGATAGACTTGTATGGCATGATTTTTAAAATATTTCTTTTTTCACCAATTTGTCGCACATTTGTCACTTATAAATGATTATTTAACTGTAAAATAAAACTAGCTTAATGCCAATCCAGAGTCAATTAAAACTTAACCGATTTTCGCATATAATATAACCAAAGACACAACATTGTAATCAATGGATTTGTGTTTTTGGTTCATATCTCTAATTCAAAGTTAGGATGAAAACTAGGGGTGGCTATTTGGACCGGGACCGGATTAAAAACCGGAAACCGGACCGTATAACCCGGACCGAGACCGGACCGGGACCGGATAGTAAACAATCCAATCCAATCTTTGGGCTTAGATTTGAGGTAAAAAACCGGATAAAGACCGGATAAGAGAGCTCAACACCCAAAACTTAAGGGTAATTTGCATAAACGGTCACAAACCTTTGCACTTAGTACAAAACTTAACCAACTCCTCACCCTTTAAGGCCTTAGGCCACTCAAATCCCACAATCTCAATGTAAAATCAAGACCGAATTGGGACCGGACCGGATCAAAACCGGACCGGATCAAGACCGGACTGTATCCAATCCAATCTTCGGTCCTTATATCTTCAAAAAGACCGGACTGGACCGGATCAATTTGGGCCAATTTAACCGGACCGGACCGTATAGCCACCCCTAATGAAAACCTTGTCATGAATAGTGTATACATAACTTGGATTGATATAAAAGTAAGTTAATCTTCTAATTAAGAAATTTGTATTTGAGACTTTACAATCTTAAAGTTAGATTTAGAAAACCCAATTCATATACCAAGTTAAGGTAGAATGGATAGTAATAATAAAATTCCTAATACATATAAGTGATGAAGAAACACCTAAACAAAATAGTAGGTTTAGGACAAAACATTTATGAATGAAGAGACTCTTAAACAAGAGGCAAGGCAGATCCATTTTTTTAACTTTCTTCTTTCTTTAACAGTTCCACATTTCTTACATTTTTGCGATTTTTCTCTCTTCCTTTTCTTATTATGGCGCGCTTTACATTGGCGAAGGTTAAGGGGGGTTTTAGACAATCTTATAATCTCGTTAATTGAGTATAAGTAACTTTTACAGACAACTAAGTAGGGCCTTTTTGAATTGAATCTTAAGTAGTCTATCAGTGGTGCGCCCCTTCATTTTATGCTGATCCAGGCCTGGGGCTGGCTTTTTGAAGCTTCAAACATGGCAGTAAGTTGGCATAGTCTCTCGCCCAGCCTTCGCCTTCTTCAGTGGCCGAGTTGCACCTCTATCAAGTCCATGCCGAGAGGCAATGTAAAGAGGGATGTCTGGAACTTTATCTGTGTTCTCTAGAACAATTCTAAAATAACAATATGATCGTTAGGGGAAAGACTTTTCATTTGATTTTTAAAAACAATTTTTAATACACTATTTGGTTGAGTCTCAATACTGCACAATTAAAGAGTTTTAAACATACTAATCCACTGGTTAGGGTCATTTTAAGTAATTTCATGGTCTCATTGGTTGAAGTGAAGTTGATTCAAAGCAAAATTAAATAGAAAGCAAGCAACGATTATTTTCGTATTAAGAAGGCTCACTCAGGTATGAGTCCCCCTAGATTGCGGTTAGGCCAAGTTGTAATTCATCTAAGTCAATTCGATTGATACTTAAACTACAAAAAGTTCTCAAACAGTCTGGAGTCTCGACTAAAGTGCTCCAGACCCTCTCAGTCCGAAACTGGCAGACGACTAACCTCCACCGGTATAAGCTAACTAAGGCAATAAGATTTAAAATTCCTCCACTGGATTCTACACCAGTACAGAGCAGTGAATCGACTCATCGATTAAAGTAGTAGATTCACTACTTCCAATTCATGATGCTCTTTCAACCTATGTAGAGACTATCATTCTAGGTCAAAGCGGGAATCGCAAGAATTTGATCAGGACTCAAGCAATTATGAATCAATGCCTAAATTGGATAAAAGATAATCCATCAGTCATGACAAAGGGTTCATACAACTCTTTCTAACATACAATCTAGGGTTCTTACATACCCAAGTGATAGAGGTGATTATTCCATAGAGAAAGAGTGGAAAGCAATGCCAGATGTGGAAATAATCGTGTAGACGACAAAAATCTTCTCCGGGTTATCAATCGTCACCCCTCGAGGCTTGAATCGAGCTCCAATGGTGGGGAGACTTGATCTAGGGCACTCAAGGTTCACTCTTTGTCACTTTCTCTCTCTAAACCTCTGTTTTTAGCTTCAAAATGGAATACCCATCCAAATTCCTGAGTTCTGCTTGTAACAGCCTGAGTTGGGAATCCCCGGCTTCATTCCCCGATCGGGTAATTGGAGGCCAAACAGGGGATTCACCCAAAATGTAGCATCGCCATTTAAGTCTCGAAGACGATTTCCACGTCCGCCACTTAGAATCCTCGACCGAGGAAAAAGGCTATCCGACCAAGGTTGTTCTTATTGTGTTCCCCGGCCTACGATGCATATCCCCAATCGGGGACGAGATGAGCTGACAGGGGATTTTGATCCTCGAGCTCCACTTTTCGTCCACTCTCCACTTTTGACCCGAAACTTGCTCCCAATCCTTCATTTTCGATCCAAGTCCTGAAATACGAAATACAAGCACAACCTAGCGTGAAATCGGCTTAAAATGCGAAGATCGACCCTCAAACAGTCTGAGAATAGTGGAAAAAACATGTGGAAATATCGAGTTATCAAAGGGCACGAAGCAGAGCATCAAGATCGCAACCTCCAGTGCTGAGATCGCGGCCGCGAAGATTGGAGCCTCAAGCACAAACTTCCCATCCAGCAAGGAGCAAAAGAGATATACCCGAGATCGCGGCCTTGGCTCCAAAGATTGCGCCTGCGATCATCCCTCATCCAGCCGTGAATTTGTCCGATTACCAGAACTCTATAAATAGGGGATCCCGTCCCTTCACAAAGGAGCTTAAATCACTTCGTGAAATTTTGGTTTTGAGAGAAAAGTTAGAGAGAGAAGTTGAAGGAAGAGAAGAAGAAGAGAAGAATCAGAGCCAAGAAGAAGGGAGCTCTCCCCCAACTCAAGTCTTCTTCGTAATTCTTTCATGTATCTTCTTCCCCCATTTATGGGGTAGTAACCTAAACTACTAGGGGTTTAATCCCCAAACCCTATATTTTGGTTTTATGATGTGTAAGGTATTTTGTTAGGGTTTGTGAATGAAATGGGTTTATCAAGTGATTATATGCTTTTGTCTATGTTAATTGTGCTTGGACTTGTCTTTTCATGTGATTTTCATGATTGTCTACCTAGGGTTTGAATGAGATGATATGTAATTGATTTGTTTGGCATGATTGGGTAGATGAATGATTTAGTGGACCAATTGGTGGACGAGGTGAGCATCCCCTTCCAATCGGGTGTCCCTCATAGGTAATGCTAAGGCGATGCATGTGTGACCATCGACATGTCGAACTAGCGTGTAGATGGGTTAAACCATTGGGAGGGTTTAGGTCATATCCCTAGCATGGTGAACCTGATCTATGTGACATTGGCCCAACAGATCATGCTAGGAGGAGGCTAGTTGCATGACCATTAAGATAGTCCCCATATAAGTGAGTCTCGCACCTTGTTTCCATAAACCGACATTATTAACCGTTTGCATGATAAACTTATACTTTAGGGCGAGGGTGATGCCCTGTGTACCTGATTTTATCTATGCTTTCTTGAGCTATTTTTTACCAGTTTTTCCTCTAAAAACAAACCTAAACCCATCAATTAGATAACAAAAAAGTGAAGTAGTCTAGGCTATCAAGACTCATGGAATACTAACTTGGTCGACCACTATATTAACAACACCATCTTTAGTTATACTTGGCTTGAGATGTGTTAGTTAATACAAGACATGCAATCAATTGAATAACCTGCATGGGTTCACACCAGATTATCTATACTTAAAACAAAAAAAAATGAAACATAAGAGATCAAGTGCTTCAACTCATGTACATAAAAAAGATAAAAAGATACAACACCATCAAATTAAATCTCACAATTTTAGGAGGCATTATCATCAACATGCCATCATCACTACCGTACTCCATTTGTTGGATGGGTGCTTCCTAAAGGCCGAGGTTCCGCGAATGCTTTTGAATGCCGTAAGGAAGGATGGAAACAATCACATCTTCTTATTCACATGGGATATTGTTGAGGGTGAGAAGAAGAGCTATTGGACATGGTTTCTCAAGAATTTGAAAAAGGAATCGGGATTCAAGGATGGGGTTGGATGCAGTGTAATTCTTATTGCTTTATTATCGCAAGGGTTAGTGATGACTCGATATTTGCACATGTTTTCCCCTTTGTTTCTTGATCGTTTAAGCTTGTATTGTCGCTTCTTTGGCCTATTTTACGCTAGGTTGTGTTCCTTTGTCACATTTCAGGCCCTAGCACATAAAGTGAAGCATAGGCGCAAGTTTCAAGTCAATCAGAGATCAATTGGCGATTAGGGAGAAGAAACTCGGGCATGACCTGAAGAAGAATGGATTTCTATCTCAATTTATGGACAAATAATCATGCAAGCTTTTCATGAAAAGAAAGAGGACGAGACTACGAGCGTCTGGGTTCAAACGGCGACTAATTTGGAGTCCGGACGAGGGAGAAACGAAGCTTTGAACAGGAGCGAAGGAAGAATTACGGGCAGGAGAATTACGACCGTAATTTCCCCTCCCATGCCCGTATTTTCACTGCCGAGAGGAGCTTTGGGTGCACTGAAACTTAACCAAAACGCGTGTTTTGGGAAAAATACGAGCATGGAAGAATTACGACCATAATTCAGCCCGTAATTCGCCCAGAATCGGGTTTTTGAGGCAGATTCGAGCCATAGGAAAGGGAGAGAGCTGGGTTTTGGTTC